GCGGGCGCGGAAAGCCCCGGCAGCCGAAAGCCCCGCGTTGCGACACCCGCGCAGCGCCCGCCCGGGCCCGCTGCTCCCCCCGCGCCCCACGGGGGTTTCGGGGTTCGTAACGTCGGGTTGTAACGTCAGCTGTTTCGTTGTATTGATGTGTTTGTTTGTTCAATCCCCCCCTCCCCGCAGTTTTCTCCACCTGGCGATTATTCACGAGGAAAAAGCCCTGAGCCTGGAGGTGATCCGGCAGACGGCAGGGGACCGTGCCTTCCTCAACTTCCAGAACAACCTCAGCCAGGCACTTTCACCTCCGCAGCCCCACGTGTGCATCTGTCCCCGCCGCCTCCACAGAAGTTCTCTGGGGAATTCCCTCCCAAAAAAAAAAAAAAAAGTCCTGTATAAAGTTTTGGGTTTTTTAAAATTGCTGGGTGTTAAATCAAAGCCTGCATTCAGGAAAGTCCCCAGCTGGCTCCAGCCAGTGTTAGCACAGCGCTTCCTCTCCTCAGAGAGTGGCATTTAGCACCTGCATTTTTCAAATGTGAGGTAATGGGTTGCATTCCTCTTCATGGGGATGTTAATGATACCCTTCCTATGGATTGACTGTTCCATACTCAGACAGGCCTGAGTTCACCACTTCTAGACTAAAGGCCAACTATACAACGTGTCAGGGAACATAAAAAACGGAGTTCCTGGGATGTGGTTTGAAGTGGGGGCACAAATCACCAAGTGGTCAGGTGGTCTGCCAAGACACTGCTGCCAAGGTTGTGGTGTAACTTACAGGCCTGCGTTTTCTGTCTTGCCTGCAGACCCCTCTTCACCTGGCAGTGATCACCGATCAGCCCGAAATCGCTGAGCATCTTCTGAAGGCTGGATGCGACCTGGAAATCAGAGACTTCCGAGGAAACACGCCCCTGCACATTGCCTGCCAGCAGGGCTCCCTCAGGAGTGTCGGCGTCCTGACGCAGCACTGCCAGCCGCACCACCTCCTCGCCGTCCTGCAGGCCACCAACTACAACGGTACGGGCCTCCTGTAGACCTCAAAGACATCTTCTGGAGAGGTGGAAGGAATCATTATGCCCATTTGAGAGCTGAGGACCCCAAAGCACACAGCGGTGTCTGACATCTTTAAAATGTCACTGTCTTGTAGGCCTCCCCACTGTTGATCATTGCCTTTCATGGCTTTGAATTTTGCAGTGCTCGGGTCTTTTTTGGTTACAATAAGTTACAGTCAAACACTGGAATAAATCCTCTTAAGAAATCTTTCCACATTCCAACCCTGTTTTTCATGCCTACCGGAATCTGGAAAGCTTTCTGGAAAACACCCTTTTGCCATGGATGAATCACAAACTTAAGATACCATCCTGTCCTATCATCTTGACTTTACCTGAACAGTAGGGCATTAAGTTAGACTTACTGAAAAATTTTCCTTTCATTTGTGCTTTGCAGGACATACATGTCTCCATCTGGCATCTATTCAAGGATACCTGGCTATTGTCGAATACTTGCTGACCTTGGGAGCAGATGTAAATGCTCAGGTATGTAATGTATACCATGAATTGAACTGAGCAGAGCTGTGTAGTCATAGGAATCAGCAGGCCCAGCAGCAGCTCCCTAACACGCTGAACCGTGTGTTGCTTTCACTTTGCAGGAGCCGTGCAATGGCAGGACAGCACTACATCTGGCTGTCGACCTGCAGAACCCAGACCTGGTGTCGCTTCTGGTGAAACACGGCGCCGACGTGAACAAAGTGACCTACCAGGGCTATTCCCCTTATCAGCTCACCTGGGGAAGAGACAACTCCAGCATACAAGAGCAGCTGAAGCAGCTGACCACAGCTGACCTGCAGATGTTGCCAGAAAGTGAAGATGAAGAAAGCAGTGAATCTGAGCCTGAATTCACGGAGGATGAAGTAAGTAGCTCTTTGCACCCTTTCAAGAGAAGAGGAAAATCCTGCCTTCTGTAGTTGTTTTTTTGTTGGTGCCACTCTGATGACATGTTTCAGTGACCTCTTGCCTATATAACAGGTGGATATAAATAGCCTATAAAGTGAGGGTGTACAATCAAACATCAGCAAGATGGCACTTGGGACAAGCAATTAAACAGAATAGTTTAAATGTAAAAAATAACAGGAGGGAGCAGAGGTTAACTCGACATAACATGGTTCTTTTAACACCATTTTATTGCTGACACCTACAGAACCTTGTGAGATAAAATTCAAGTTTATAGGTGGCTTCTCCTCCCCATCATTTGTTTATCTAATGTTCTCAGTGCCATTAAACAGCAAACATAACTATTTCAGTGTAGAAATTGTATATGCTGCTGAAGTCAGGGCACGCAGAAATTGGCAGTTATCCCAGAGTGGATACAATACTCCCAGTAAGAGTTTTGCATTAACAGTCTTCTGTTTTTTTCTTGCAGCTTATGTATGATGACTGCCTTATTGGAGGACGACAGCTGGCATTTTAAAACAGCTTTCTGTGAAAAGGAGGGACCGTGTACATATATATAGAAAGAGGACTCAATTTCTTCCTTTTAAAAAGAAAGTTGCAATGCAGAGCGAAAAGACGGGAGGGAAATACTACACTGCTTGGCAAGGAGCACGTAACTGTAACGGGACGATTCCAGGTTCTGGCCTGTGTTTGGGTACAGGAGCGGGATGTGTAACATCAGTAGAGATCTGTGATTATTCAAACCTCTTGATTAAGAGCTGCATAGCTGATCTTCTCAACCCCTACAGAGTAACAGACTACACATCCAACCAGCTAGTTACAGAGAGCTACCTTGTTGCCTTCACTACCTGAGGAACACGTCCTCTCGTGGCAGGGCAGGCTCATACCAACACCCCCTCTTCTCAGAGACTGTTAATTTATGTTGGGCTGAAGGTGCTCCCTGGCCTTACTGACCCACCTCAGCTGCTCTCGTGGGGTGTCCCAGGTGGAGGAGTCCAGCCGAGGCACCGGTGACCTGGCTATTAGGAGAAAGTAGCAATAATGTTAACTGTGGGCATTGGAAACTCTGTGTTTCACACCATGTGTGTCATAATTGCTACACTTTTTAGCAGTTGTATATTGTGTAAATGCTGTACATTTTTTGTTTATAATTATTTTGGTACATGTGAGATGTGTATTTATTAAAAAGCATCAGATTACTGTACCTGGTCTGTGAAACGGTTCATTGTGCACCTTGTTTCCCTGAGGCAGATGGGAATCCACCTGGTTTGCTTTTTAAGAAACACGTAGTGCCTGGTAGACTGATGGGGTCAGAGGCTCACGGGTTTTAAGTGGTTCACCTCAGGAGTGGTGTAGTATCTGAGCAGCTCGCAGCTCTCAGCCCTCCTGCAGCTAATTTTGGAAGCAGACGTAGGTGTCTGTTTCCTGCACCCATTGCGGCAGGCAGGTCTTGGGGCTGGGATTCCCCTCTGCCACCCAAGCACCAGGCTCCCTGGCCACTAGAAAGGGGTTTTGAGGCAGCACCAACCCACTCACCCTCCTGGCACCTTTTGTTCCAGCTCCAGTGTTCAGCAGCTCCTGCCGGGACTTGCTGGGGGAGGGTGGAGGTTTGTAGCACAGCCCCGTGTCCGCCCTCCCTCGTTTATCAGCTGGCCTGGCTCTGGTTTGAACTCGGGCACCTTTGGATTTTCCAGCGGGGATTTCCACGGGAAGAGGGAGCACACGGGCCTGGGAACGTGCTGCTGCTTCCACCTCTGAAATTCAGGCACAGGGCCTCCTTCCCTCCCAGCTCCCCACAGCGTTGGAGGATGTGGCTTTAACCCACTTCAGTTGTTCCTGCCTGTTTCTCTCCAGCATTCAAGCAGACAGAATCACTTTGCTGAAATCCTCATCTGCACCTGATTACCTCTTGGCTGCATGTCACAGCACAGGACTCATTTTAGCCACAGATTTTAGCCTATTGTGTGATGACATAAAGGCTGGGCTCCATGAAGGGTGTCCAAGCCCCATTCCTTTTGTGCCATAACCCCCTGGATGGGGATGGGGTGCAGCACAGGACTGAGCTCTGCCAAGAGTGCTGGCTGGGAGACTCCTGTGCTGCTGGCACCCAGCCTGGCTCAGGCCAACACAGAAGGCCATAACTCCACGTTGCACAGGAACATCCATTCCCTTTTCCACCCTGTTCTTCCCAAGGATTTCCTGATACACGACCTGCTCTGAGGAGGGCTCTGGTATGAGGAAGAGCACCACAGCTGACCGAGTGCTTACTAATTTGCATGTGAGACAGAGGCCATTGTGGAAAGGACTATACAAAATTCTCATCCTGAGTAATTTTTATTTCCCTTCCACTCTCATAGCCCAGGTGTATGAGCTCAAACTTCCTTCTGGCAGATAGGGCCCTGCCCACATTGCAAACCTGCAAATTTTTCCAAGTGTGGGGCTGGGTGAGAATCTGCCAAACCCTTCCTCTTGGGGACTCCTCTTGCACTCCAAGAGGAGGTTTTGTCCACCTGCTGCTACAGATTTTCCACCAGCAAAGTATCCCCAGCACTTTCAGCCTGTCTTGACTGAACACACTGTTGCCACATCTGGAAATAGAAAAGGCAATGTTCCCTTCATTAGCAATGCTTCAATTAGCAGAACAGGAGCTTGAAATGCTGTGGAGGCCCTGCAGAGGCATTCACCAGCTATAGATATCAGTGTTCTGGAAGTCCTTGGGTACTTGGCTGGACCTGGTATGCAAATATTTAAATAGATACCATCAGAATACAAATACTTTTTATTCGAAGGCCAGAGGGAGGGAGGAAAGTGGAGTTATCAGCAGTACCAGGTTGGTGGAGCAGTTTCAGCAGTACGCTCTCTGCCACTCGTTGCAACATTTAGACAAACAGTATCTGAGGAAGGTGCTGCTATAATCTTACAAGGGCTGGCTCTATAATGACTTAATAAATTAAGCGATTACTTTACTGCACAAGGAAGTTTTGCAGCTAAACAAATCATTGCCCAGGTACCATATGCTGGTTATGCTACTGTTTGCCTCTGCCAGTCATGCAAAAGTAACCACATACCACATGCAGCGGAACTGCATGTAAAGCAAGTAGGGCAGATATTAATGTGAGAATATGTGTTTGTTAACAAAGTAGGTTGGGACATGTTGTGTATTCACGCATTGCTAACATGGGCTATTTAGTGCAGAGTTTTACCTGTTCAATTGATGACATAATCAGACTGTCCACTGCAGGCCACCCCCAAACTCTCACTTTCAAACACATGCTCTTCACTGCACCATGTCCACCCTGTCTCAGGCTTTTTCATACTCATTCCTTTGGAAAGAGCTTCTGAGAAGGGTTTTGGTGATAACCTGCCTTCATGCTACCTTCTTTGCACTCTGGGAGAAATATTGCACAGTCCCATTTGTAGGGCTTGAAGCAAGAACCGCTTACATAGTCATTCTGCCGGAATCACTTTTTCCTTTTTCAGCCACCACAGCTGCTGTTAACAGAACATGCTAGCTTGCTCTTGCTTGTCCTCCTGCCAGTGCTTCCCTGTGCTGGCCTGGGATTCAAAATTCTCTCCCAGCACCTTCACTATCTGCCCTTGCTGGCTCAGCAAGCTTCAAGAGCAGCCATGCTGCCACAGATCAAGCTAAACTGTGAAGTTTAGCTTTAGCTTCCTGACTCTGGCCCTCTCTCCCTTGGCTTTCTTCCTTTCCTCAGCTCCTGCCATGCCTGTGTCCTCTGCTCTTACTGCCCTTGGCACCCATGTCTGTCCCTGCCTGCTGTTTTCTCCCTTCAAGGGTGAGCAACTTCCTGCAGATCCCCCCTCCCTCCTCTCTTGAACACAAGCTCACCATGAACTACTCATTCACCCATTATCACATTGCACACAATGAGGCTGCACTTGTCTTTCCAGCCTTTTGCCACTGACTATTCTTGCAAATTCATTTGCTAATCCCACAGGGATATTCCCATACTTGCTTAAATTGCATACAAAGAAGTGAACTCCCCATTTCCTCCCACACCCTCCTTTTCCTTCTCACACTCCACCTTCCTGTAGGCCTCCCTCACCCCAACCACAACCCAGGGGCCACCTTCAGTCTCTGCTCTCCTGCCTTTCAGCTCAGTCAGCATCAGCCCTGGACTTCTCAAGAATGTTATGGTGGTGACAGATAAAATGCCAGGGCAGCAGTGCTGGAAAGCAGAGCCCAGGGCCTGATTTTTGCCCAGTAAATAGGGAAGTACAGCTTTGGACAGTGTTGAAAACAAGGGCAAAATTCAACCCTGCACTTGGGGACATGCACAGCCAGGCTGTGTCCTCCCATTGGCTCCAGTGCCAGCCTGACCTTTGCAGTCATGAGCCCTACAGCTTCAGTTCAGATTTGGATGAGCAGGATGGTTGAGTGAGGAAAGGAGAAGACGGAACCAGCAACAAAACCTGAGGAAAGACGCTCTGATCTCCAAGGATGAGGACAAGTATAATTCGTGACTTGTTTTAATGGAAAATCCTCAGTGATGGCAGACTGGGTTGGGCAGAGGCCCAGCACAGATTGTTTTTCTGCAGCAGCTGAGCTGTGGAAATAATCAAGCATCAGTTGTTCCTAGAAGAAAGGATTGCAAAACAGAGTGCAGAGATGGCAGGGAGGACCCTCTCCTTGGATGAAAGCCTGCCCTCACTTTAGGAGAGTGGAGGAAGGGCTTTTCTAGCATTGCTGTGCTCCCAGCACCAGTGTTTTGCTGGAGATCAAGAGCTGTGCAAGATCCCAGGAAATGAGGGAGTAGGAAAGTCCTGTCCCCTCCCTCCAGAGGGGACAGCATGCACCACTGGGATGGCCATTGCACAGCCTTTTCCAGTCTCCAGCAAGCACCTGTCACAGCTCTGGCACTTCTCACCTCCTTGTCCCTTCAGACAGCTCTCTGGAGCATTAACATCAGGGCCAAAAGGCTCCCTTTAAACACAGACACATTTATCAGGCCATAATGTAAGAACCCAAACTCCAAAGCCAAAGGGGTTGAAACAGAAACTCCCCCAGCATCCTGGAGGTCTGAATGCCCTCCCTTCCCTTGCTCCAGCACCCAGATTTTCCCAGGACCATCTCCTTGTTCACTTTTCCAAACAGGACTTTCCAGTCCCTGTCAGAAGAGACCTGGGGTTTTCCCCGCTCACTCCTTTCTGCAGCTTTGCCCCTTTACAGCAGCCATGGCACTGGGCTCCATTGCCTCTCCAGCTGCCAAAGGGCAGCCTCCTGCCTGCTCATTGCCAGCCCCAGGAGCTTCCCAGCCTAGAAGGAACAGGCCTGCACTCCTTTCATTTAAATAAATTTCCCATTCCCAGCTAATTCATATTCTTTTTCCTGTGCATATTATAAGGGAAGCTCTTCACCCCTCCAGCTGAAAGCAAAATAAAAGCAAATGTGTGCAAAGTGATGCAAGAAAGTGCCTTAAAATGCAAATCTTTTCAAAATGCACACACCCTGTGAAGGGCACATAGCTACAATTACAGTACAACACTTAACTCTGTTAATTATTACCCCTGGATTTCAGTAGCTTGAAGGAGGGATTT